TCAAGCCAACAGTCAGGATTACAGATGTAGTATACATCAATAGATAAAAAGAATTACTGTGATTTTGTTTCACTGTATTCAAGGTGGGAACAGAGAAAATAGGTAACTGAGAGTTGGGTAGAAAGTGCAAATGAGCTGAAGTAAAATCTGAAGGTTGCAATTAGTACAGTGCCTGGTATATCATAATAAGTTACTGTATAACTGCATATGTATTTGATATCTTTTATCTGATGAATGCGTGGCTTTCAGTATTCTTAGTATCCTGGATGGTGCTTGATAATTTTTAAAATGTCTTTCTTGGGTTCTAAAACTTCACCATTTTTTTTATACCCCTTATCTCTAACCTTTGATATTTGTATCCTGGGGGAATTTCTCCAAAGTTTACACATGCTCAGCTAGGCTTTCTTTTACTTTACCTTTTTTGCCTAAAAAATCTAAGTCTTTACTACATTGCTCTCTCCTATATGCTCTAGGATCAGAGGCAGTCTTCCTTTGACTGCCCCTCTGACCTCACTTTTTACTTCTTTCCCTGATCTTTTGGTGTACCATTAACAACTTTTCTCTCCTTTAATGTCAGCACTTGCCTTTCTATTGACTCCTTCTCATTACTTTGTAAAAGTTCAATTATCAGCCACACTAAGGAAGACTCACCCACACTAAAGATTTCCTTGATCTCCATCTCTTTTTTATTTTTAATTGGTATCATTTTATCTTTCATTTCTTTAATTTATTTTATTGATAATCTTCAGAAGGTATATTATATTTCCTTCTTTTTTTTTTTTCTATAGGGTACTTGTGCTTGCTTGGAGAGACAGAAAGTGAAAAATCATCTCCTGAGGGGATAACCATGCCACAATCTCTTTCTCCTCCATTCTCCTTCTGAGATTTTGGGCATGCAGGCACATGTGCCCAGGGTGAGTTTCAAGGGAACAGATATGGGACTTGAACTGAGGTCAACCACGTGGGAGTCCAGCACCTTAACCATTACACTATCTGCTGGTCCCACTGTTACCTTTTTGTCACCTAATGGGAAAGTAGCCATGGAGTTCGAGCTGGCTATGGAAGGAAATAAGAACAGAGTGCCACCAAGAAAAATGAAGAAAATAATTTGTACAAGGGGAACTGGGAACAAGTGATCTGGATGTAGCCAAGAGTGCATGTAAGTAGAGATACTGACATAGAAGACTATGGCAAGGGAGAAGAATACTACAGGTTTGCATGTTGACCACAAAGCAGTTCTGAGTGATGGTAAAGTCTAGGCTATGCCATTAGAGAGTTTGATGAATGAGATTAATATGAAGAGTTTTTATTTGAAATGAGTTTGAAAAGGACAATGTGACTATGTGATAGGGTGTGGAATAAGTAGAACATGAAGGCTTTGACAATTTTAAGAAATTATAAGTATTTGGTGATGAAAGAAACAAGGATGAAAAAAGTTGAGCAACCATGAAACAGAAGCCTGCTGAAAGCTTATCTTTGGGTAAGAATTTTGTATATTATTTCTTAATTTAAAAAATAAAATGCTCTCATTATATGCCTAGGACAGTATCTTGATCATCATGTTTTTCTTTAAATATTTGTTGATTAGTTCGTTAAAGACTATATTCTTAATATTTAATTAATTAGAAAAATATTAAGTTGACTTTATCACCCAACAGTACTTTTTTTCCTTTAGTTTTGCTGTATGGTGAGTGCACTCATGAGACAGAGATAAAGACAGAGAGAGAGAGAGAGGGAGAGAGGAACAGAGAAAGTGAGAAATTCCACACCCCCCCAGGAAGGAATGAACATGCTGCAATCCTCTCTCCTTCATTCTCCTGTGATTTTGGGCATGCATGCACATGTGCCTAGTGTGACTTTCAAGCCACCAAGTCTGAGACTCAAACCGTGCACTGGCTGGCACCTGAATTTTAGTTTTGATTATCTAAAAAAAAAAAAAAAATCTACTTATGGTACCATATTTACTTAAGAGCATTGACATGTCTATTTAACAAAGTTAAATATCATTTGTATCAGCGATGCTACTTAAAGAAAATCTTTCTCAGGTAATCTATTAATTGATGCATAATCGACAAAGCAGTTTTAAATTTTACATCTTTGAATTGTTATTAAAATTTACAAATGTAAAAATATAAAATTTAAAATGTACGAGATAATAATATTGGAGGGCCAATGACAGTCATGAAATTCTCAGGAGGATACAGCTGAAAGTGTCAGAGGATGTATAGTTTAAGAGTATATTCTGTTTCTGAGATAAAAGGGAGAGAAATCTGTTGATTCAACAGGGGAAAGTTGTTTTGTAGCTTGATAATGGCTTCAATTTCCTTATTTATTTATTTATTTCCTTATTTTTTTAATTTGGAAAACAACTGAAAAGTTATACTAGAAAAAATTGTGAAACCAGAAAGGTGAAAATTTTAAAGCTAAATGAAAAACACAGCCAAGTTATTGTCAGGGGGGAAGATAATTCCAGAAGAGCAAAATGTGCACATACACTCACACACATACACACACACACATATGCACTCACTCATACAATTTTAAACTCTCATTAGGCTGTCTTCTGATTCTTCATCCTAGGAAATGAACAATCATAGTCTTGTTTTTCTTTCTTTCTTTTTTTTTTTTTTTTTTCAGAGATTTTTGCTATAAGGCACATGTGCTCGCCAGAGATACAGAAAGTGAGAATTCATCCCTCAAGGGAATGGCTATGGCATAATCCCTTCCCCTCCATTCTTCTCTCAGGATTTTTGGGATGCATGCACATGGGCCTGGTGCAAGTTTTAAGCTATCGGGTCCAGAACTCAAATCACAGATGACTATCTGGGAGTCCAGTAATGTAACTATTATGCCATCTGCTGGTCCCAGAAAGATCATAGTCTTTTATTATATTTGATTCTAAACCCAGAAATCACAAAGGCTTAAAAGTAATTTTTTTTTTTTAAAGACTAAGGGCTAGCAGTAGTGACACAGTGTTCACACAATGTTTGTGATGCTGGCACCGCATGGAAAGGTTCTAGGCTGGTGTCCTGATGTCTCCCTGTACATACTGGTTTTGTCCTCATCATGCCTGTGATCTGGGCTGGCTGGGATTGCAAATGGGTCACATTGTGAAGATCCTGTTGGAGCTGCCTGCCTCTTTCTGTCTCTCTCTATTTGGAATAAATAAGATAAAAAATAAACTTTAAGAAAAAGAAATTTTATGTTTGTATGCAGTGTATTTTTTCACTTGGCACTTAAAGATAGAAAGCTCATATAAGCCTCCTTTCTGCACTAACTGTATTTCCATTTTATTTTTTAAAGTACTTTGTTTTGAGTATGTGAAAAATAAAGACTGATTTTAAAATCCTTAGGGAGCAAATTGTTTCAGAAAGCCCATTGCATTCTTCAAGACTATTATTACAGGCCAAAACATTAAAATGCCAGAGACCTGGTGGAACAATAAAGGTCAGTTGGCATGACACTAACTTAGTCAAAGAAAGTACTTTTCAGGTAAAAGCATTTATGCTTTTCTTTAAAAAAAGGAAAAGCGTAAAGAAAACAATTTATTTGCATAGGTTTATATGATTTTTCTTTAAGAAGTATATTTTATTTTTGCTGCCTAGGTTAGGGAGCTTGAAAAAAAACATCACTATAAACTGCTATTTCCATTCCATAGGTTGATGGATTGACTGACTAATAGCCACATCCTACCTATGGGAGAGGGGAGAATAAGGAAAAAAACGAAAATGTTAAGTGTGCCTGTGTGTGCCTCTGTGTGTGTTTGTGTGTGTGTGCGTGTTTGTGTATACATGTGGCTTATGTAGCAATTTTTGTAAAAAGCTTCAAGAGATAGATTTGGGGGAAAAAGGAATTGTCTCTATTAGTGAGAGGTTATGAGATTATTTATGTCTGGACTTTTTCTAATCCTTTTGCATTATTAAATAGTTAAATAAAACTGTCTTGTGTCTGGAGGAGAAAACTATCATTGTTATGTACAAAACACAATTTTTTAAAAGTTTCTTTCTTCTACGAGAGAGAGAGAGAAAGAGAGAGAGAGAGAGAGAGCGCTACCTTTAGCAGGATTTCAATGTTACAATTCACCCCTAGCTTCAGCCAACTCTAGATCATGGGCACACACATGGCCAGTATACAAGAGAAGTCTCCAGACATGAACCCAGAACTTTTCCATGTGGGCCAATCTTGCAGGGCATTTTGTCATACTGTTACATCATCAAGCCTCCCAAATATAATTTTGTTAGGAATTCAGACACATAGATTTTTTAAAAACCTCATACTTATTTGACAATTCTAAGATGAATAAATATTACACGTTTCTGAAAGGATTATTTATTTATTTATTTAGGAGAGGTTTTTGCTATAGGGTGCATGTGCTCGCCAGAAAAACAGAGAGAGAGAGAGAGAGAGACAGAAAGCAAGAAATAACCCCTCAGGGGGGATGGCCATGCTGCAATCCCTTCTCCTCCATTCTCCTCTTGGGATCTTGGGCCTGCACACACACGCCGCCCAGTGTGTTTCAAGTAACCGGGTCTGGGATTCAAACCACGGTCGACTACGTGGGAGTCCAGCGACATAGCCATGACGCTAACTGCTGGTTCCCATGTTCCTGAAAATATTGAGCATAACTTTTCACTTACTTGTGCTGCAAATATTTATGAAGCAACAGTCTATACTTGGTGATGTGCTGTGCAATGAGGACAGAAATGAGAACACAAACATCCTATCTTCCAATTACCTATATGCTGTGTTTTGTATAACTGTTTAGAGATTGAGGTAAGATACTTTGAGGAGCAGAGTCAAAGAGCAAGAAAATCTTCCCCTAGGGTTGTGGGAAGTAGGGTATAGGTAAAACAATGAGAAATCTTTTTTTTAATATAGTAAATAAACTTTATCTGTTCTTCTGGATGACATTGCCAACAGTCACAGATTCGCATACAATACAGTTACATATTGACTATTCACAAATTACAATAGTAATTTTTTTCTTACAAGGAGGAAATTCATGCACATAATGTAACTGAACTGACTGTCGGTCTGGTCCAGTGGCCAAACCCAAGTTTGACTTCTCGTTGCTTGAAGGTAAGTACTTGGAAGGCAAATGTTGGTGGAAATGAAAGTTAGCTTTATTTGGGAAACAGTGTCCTGAAATGATGGTGAACTAATGTTCAAAGACCATCTCCCCAAATCACAGACCTGGACAAGGAATTTTAAAGAAAAGATTAAGGGAAAGCTGTTTTGCACAGCACAGCTCTTCTACGTTTCCCTGACTGGTGCCATGGAGGAGGCTTGTTGACATCAGGGTTGTTGTCTTCAGCTGCAGCTGGGTGGGCCCAATCTTCAGGGCAGAAGTTCTTATCTTCCATGAGCACATCTGCTTCTTGGGTTGCAATATTAAGTCCTGGTCTTTGCAAATTCTCAGCAAAACTATTATATGCTTAGCTTCTGTAAGAAATAAGACTTAGGATGTTTAAACAAGGAAAACAAGCTAATACCATTCTACAGTATTTTATTCTGTCACGTTGGGTTTAATAGGGAGCTGATTTGGTTTCTCTCTAATCTGGCTACATTAACAGAATTGGGAATTGGAAGCATGAATTCATGTAAACTTCATTTAAAAAGAACAAAAACAAAAAAACTCAGCTTTTTTTTCCCCTCCAAACAGTGCATTTATTTGTAACACTAAACCATGTGACACTTTTCAAAAAATGTAGATATGGGCAATTCATATTAAGATGTTTACCATGGCACCACGAAAATAATACATTAAGTGCACATGCTTTGGGAATACATTCTAAGTTGGTTATTTCTTTTGGCATCTGAGAATTGTTCACAATTCAGATATTGGTTCAGTGAAATGAATTTGCCTTGGAATTCATAAGTTTAAGAAACATGCTTGACCTATGATTTCCCAAAACATGTAACTTCTGCCATGCTTACATTACCCACCTCTCAAAGCATGCACACTCTTTTATTCACATATACTATTTTATCTGAATATTTCACATTTATTTCTATACAGCTTCACTTTAACATGAACTTTATAAACCAACATGTTACTTGTCTTAGCTTTTGAGCTTCTAGTAAGCAATACAATTTCTGATGGAGATATGGCTTTTTTGACACTTATTGTTCCCTAATGGCCTGATTATGAGTTTTAAGGACCATTTGTTTGATATATATTTCTTTCAGCAAAGTGTATGGCTGGTGTGTGTGTGTGTGTGTGTGTGTGTGTGTTTATAGTGTATACTTATATCTTGCTTTTGACTTTCATTTTTCCTCTAGGGAACATATTTAATTTTTTTTTTCTGGTGGAAAACTATATGAAGAGGATAACCAACAAAGTAACAAAGTAATACACACGTGATATTGCAGGGTATGCCTTATCACTGACCCATAAGCCACTCAGCCTGGCAGTCAGATTTTCAGGTAACTGACCTTTGTTCACTGGCTGTGTGTTTGGTTTTATGCTAAGTTAGAAATTACAAGTCCAAGTGTAATACATGTTAAGTGACCATTTGCAATATGCAGACCCGAAGTCAAATGCTGCTAGAATAAAAACGGTAAATAATACGTGGGCCTAACTATTGGCATAATAAGTTTAAGATATCCAGGAAACATCCAAGTGAAGAGGTCAAGTAGGCAGTTTGAGGAACATGCCCAAAGGTCACATGAGAAGTCCAGGCTGCACTTGGATCATGGAAGTGTTGGTTTATAGATGACATTTACACCCTTGGGACTTAACCTCATCGTGGGAGAAAGTCTAGATTTTGTACAAAAGAAAAATCATCTTTAACTATCAGAAACTGTCCTAATACCTATCAGAAAGACTTAACTAAAACAGTGTGTAATTGTTGTAAATTAGTATGTAATATTACATTACTTGAATAGTTAGTGTCATAGAGTGATTTGCATCCACTGTAGAAATTTATAAAGAAGGGGCCAGCAGGTGGCATGATGGTTAAGGGCACTAGACTCCCACATGGACAACCATGGTTTGAGTCCCTTACCTGGAGGTTTGCTTTCTTGCTTTGCCCCTCCACCTATCTCTCTCTCTCTGTCCCTCTCTGGTCAAATTTAAATAAATAAATAAATTTAAATAAAATAATCCTTAAAAATAAAAGTAGTTTATAAAGGGTATGAAAAATTGGAATTGTCTATAGTATCTAGTATTGGGGAACTATAAATAAGAATGAAATTGCCTTGAAATTCAGAAATCTCTGTCATTAGTAAATTTCTCCCACCAACACCTTTTATTAAACAGCCTTACTGAGGCTTAACAAAACACTTTTTCTTATTGAATAAGCAGTAATCCAACATGTGATGCACATCACAGGCAATTGGCTAAGAGACTGCAAGACAGAAAGGAGTCTCACCTTTCATAGAGCCTAGCAGGTACAACCCATTGCATTTATCTCCTCGGGACAAACTGTAACTAGTCTTTAAGTAAAAGAACTTCACAGTGTCATTCGTCACACTCAGTTTATCCAACATTACCTGGTAATTGGAGTAATCATCTGTGATAGCTAATCAGTTTTATCAAGAGGGAAATCAAACTTACATTTCCATGACAAGAGGCAGTTTTGCAATATGGAGGAAGGTGCTCACTTCAGTTAGACTCCTGCCCTTCCACAGGGATGTAAAGATAGGGAAGCTATCTCCCTTGATGCTTACAGTTTCAAAGGGAGAGTTTCCAGGCCTTTGAAAAATATATTCATAGGTCAATAAAGCTGACAAAAGTCCTATTTAGTCTTTAAGAGGATTGATATGTATGTCAAAGACAGGAGAAATTACTTAATGTTACAAGTTTTCTAAAATAAGTGTGAAAAGAGAGGGGAGGAAAATGTCTTCTCATTTTCTTTAGGGAGGATTAGGCCTATAGAAACATGTTACGTGTGAAAACCTCACGTCTAACTGAAAACGCTGAGATAGCACCATAGGTCTGTTGTCAAAGCACAGCAACGTGCATTCTATGGGGCAAAAAAGATCAGTTTAGTTTGAATGGAATATTATGTAGGACTTATATGAGGAGAAGTTTGTTTGCCTTGCTTAATTCCAGAAATACCTTTTAGATGGTTTGCACAGACTAAACAAATGATAAATTCAAATTAATAAAGAGAACCATAGGAAGTATAAATAAAAAAAAAATGACCTGGAAAAATGATAACAAATATTTAGAGCACAGATAAAATGGTTTTCCATCAAATTCAGGCATGAGGTTGTCTGAGCTATGTAACATTCATAATAATAATTAAAGAATATAGTCAATCATATAGGTCTTGAAAAAAGAAATCTGGGGCCAGCCAGAGGCATGATGGTTAAGGCACTGGACTATCACATTATCCACCGCGATCTGAGTCCCATGACTTGAATGTCATGCTAGCAGCATGTGTGCCCAAGATCCCAAAAGAAGAATGAGAAGGGATTGTGTCATGGCCATGCCCCAGAACTAGTAATTTCTCACTTTCTGTCTCACTGTTTCTATTTCTTTCGAATGAATGCACACACCCTATGGCAAAAACAGAAACAAACAAACAAACAAATTTTATCAAAAGAAGTAACATTTGAAAAAAAACATTTTTTAACATATAGCTTTATATGCTGTAAAAGGACTAAATAATGCCCTTAACTATATTCAGACAGCTGAAGTAATAAAAAGTGAGCCAGCAAATAATTTTAATTTGTCACAATGTGTGTATAAATCAAAAAGACTGGAAAAACAATCTGTAGTTTGATCATAGAAGGCCATGATTAGCAGGTTAAGTAAGGTGTTTAATCCTTATTTAAGCTAAACAACATTTTTGAGTAGAGTGAATGTATGACATTAACTTTAGGAATCCAGATAAGACAATTGTGTTTCCTAATCTTAGAAGAAGGAAACTAAAAGTAAGGGCCTGTGAGACTACTATAATCTAGATGTGAGGTGATATGGTTTAAGACAGTACATTGAGGTTAAGAATGCAAAAAGGGAACAGGTGTAAGAGATACTCTTAAAGAACAATAGCAGGAAGCTCTGTTCAGCACTTTGGATCCTCTTCCTTCGGTTTGGACAGGCACTCGTATGCAACCCAGTAGCCAAAATGGTAAAGCAGATTGACAGCATGAATGCTTTTCATGAAGCCTTGGCAAGTGCAAGAGACAAGCTTGTAGTAGTTGACTTCTTGGCCACATGGTGTGGGCCTAGCAAAATGATCAAGTCGTTCTTTTTTCTTGTTTTTTTTTTTTTTTTTTTTTTTTTTTTTTTTTTTTTTTGAGAGGTTTTTGTTATAGTGTGCATATGCTTGCCAGAAAGACGGAGAGACAGAAAGCGAGAAATCAACCCCCCCCAGGGGGGATAGCTGCGCTGCAATCTCTTCTTCTCCATTCTCCTCTCGGGATCTTGGGCAAGCATGCTCACTCATGTGCCCAGCCACCAGGTCTGGGACTCAAACCGTGGTCGACTATGTGGGAGTCCAGCAACACAGTCATTATGCTAACTGCTGGTCTTGAGACTTTCTTTCATTCCCTCTCTGAAAAGTATTCCAACGTTCTGTGCCTTGAAGTAGATGTGGATGACTGTCAGGATGAAGCTTCAGAGTGTGAAGTCAAATGCATGCCCACCTTCCAGTTTTTTAAAAAGGGACAGAAAGTGGGTGAATTTTCTGGAGCTAATAAAGAAAAGCTTGACGCCACCATTACTGAATTAATCTAATCATATTTTCTGAAACTGTAACCAGCCATCGGCTATTTAAAACTTGTAATTTTTTTTATTTACAAAAAAGTGTGAAGTATGGAGACTATATACCCACTGCCATCTGATTATAAATGATAATAAAATATTAATTCTATCCTTAAAAAAAAAGAACAACAGCAGAACTTGACTATCCATTCAACATGGAGGGAGAAATATTTGTAAAATAAACAATTATCAATTATTTCTTTAACAAGAACAATAAGTAAATAAGTATCTAAATTAGCAAGAATAGGGAATACAAAAGAATAAACAAGTTTTATGGAAGAGATAATATTATGTTTTGGACATAACTTTGATGTGTCAGTTGGTGACACCAAGCTGGAGATGTTCAGTAACAAGTTGGGGATGCAAAATTGAGCCTCATGAAAATGAAGTTGGTTAATGAAAAATGAGGTTACAGAGACCAGCAGGTGGTGAGAAGGGTAAGGCAGCTGGATCCCACATGCCTGATTGCTCAGTTTGAGTCTTAGACCCATTGGCTTGAAATCATGCTGGCCACATGTGCATACATCCCCAAAATCCTGAAAGGAGAATGGGTTTCTGCATGGTCATCTCCTCTGGTGGGGGGTGATTTTTTGTTGCAGTCTGATCAGCGAGAATGAAGAGGACATCCAGTCATAGACAAATTATAGGAGTCTTTATTCAAAAACTGGTGATTGCAGAAGGACTCATGTTTCTCAAAGACCTTGCAGTCCCTAGTGAAAGGAAAGGGATGCTTATAAAGGCAAGAGTCACAATCTTCTGGGTTGATGTGGACTTTACAATGGAAAATGAGGAGGGGGAGTTCCTGTGTGTAAGCAGTTACAGAAGTCAGAGCAAGTAGGTTCATTATTTTTAAGGTTACTTTCCAGATCTTTGCCTAAACACAATGGAATCTTCTCCATGACTCAGTGCAAGGAGTCCAGCTACTGGTGATCACATTCCTAGAGAACATCTAAGACAAAGAGTTTCAGGCTATTTAGCAAAGACAGTAAGAATTTTAATTACTCTGTTTACTCTGGGCAAAAAGGAGAAAGTAAATATTCCACATGGCTGACCATGGTTAGCGTCCTGGACCTGGTAGCTTGCTTTCTACTCTCTCTCTCTCTCTCTGTCTGTCTGTCTCTGGTCAAAATAAGATAAATGAATGTATAAATAAAATAAATAATTTTTAAAAAAGAAAAAGAAACATAATGGCAGTGCTTCTGCTTCAATTTCTCACTTTCTCTTCTCTTTTTTTCTTTCTCTGGTGACCACAGGTGCCTGATACCAAAAACAAAAGCAAAACGAAACAAAGCATAACAGAAAATGAAATTAAAATTTTGGTGCAAAAATTTTGAAACCCATGCATAGTTTTTATCATAACATGAATTTTCCATGACTTTTTTTGAAGATTCCTCTTACAGCTGGTAATGTAGTTATCTATGTAGTGGTAGCTGAAATCCTACATTAGATTTAGGCATTATATTACTTTCTCTGGAAAATTTTGGGAGTATCAAATCTGAAAAATCAGAACTTAAATTTGTTGTCTAGAAAATATATATTTTTTCTTTATAGCACTCCAAGGAATTAGAGTTTATTATTGTTATTATGAATAATCACATAACAGGAATAAGACTTAGTACTGTTGAAAATGAAGCATGCATTATTTTGTGTGTGTGTGTGTGGGGGAAATATTAATCATTCAGAAGAGTAGACTATTAGTATTTTCCTATGAAAACACTCTTCCCTTTGCCAATGCATTTATGAGGTCTATTCTCAATTGGGTATAAAATACTGAAACAGGAACAATCTTCAATTCTGTCACAGGAACTGATATTTATTGTGTTACCAAGAAACATTATGACAAAAACATTTCTGTACAATTGTGAATTATTATTATTATTTTTGCTTATGTTCCAAACTGATAGGGATTCTTTCAGATAAAGAGAGTAGAATATTACCATTCCCATCACTCCATTGTGTGAGGTAGAACCAACTGCTGTGGAATATGTACAAATTATTATCAAGCTGGACAGAGCTCAGCAGAATACAAACAACAGAAGGTATATAGTGATGATAACAGCCACCATTTTTAAGAGTTTATTGAGGGGCTAGCAGGCGGTGTAGTGGTTGAGGAGCTGGACTGCCACATGACTGACAACAGTTCGAGTCTCAGATCTGGTGGCTTGCTTTCTGACCCTCCCTCCCTATCTCTCTCTGGTGAGTGCACATATCCTATAGCAAAAATAATAATAACAAATAAATAAAATAAAATAAAAATTTTTTTAAAGAAGAGTATATTGAAGGTAAAGATTTTACTTAGCTGCAAATGCCAACGTTTATTAAACCAAATTGTTTTCTGCTTACCCAAGGCAGAGGTCACACAGACCTCTTCAAGATCTTTAAGTGAAATAGACTCAGATAATCTCCTGTCTTCTATTTTGCCATTCTTCATTTCAGGGCCTTTGCCTGGGATGTAGTTTTAAGTCTTTGGCACAGATACTTTCTTCAGACTGACTCTTTTCCCATTTTGCTCTTTTCTCTGCAGATTGTCTTGATGCCCACCCACCTTTGGCTTGCCAGATGCCTATTTATGGATAGATCCTGGGTCAGCTATTTGTCTAAAATGAGAGTGCATGGAACATGAATAGTTTTCAGTAAATTGTTACAAGGGAACTGGAACTTGAGTTTCAAGTCAAGAAATTGGTGGGCATGGAACCAGGGAGGAAACCTGCCAGGCGAGAAACTAGACATGGAAAAGGGGTAGAGAGTGAATGAGTCTGTATATGTATGGATTTCACAGAATACACATTGCTCCCTTTGTTCTATTAAATCTGGGCCAGGATGCAACTTGCTGAACTCCTTAGAATTAAAGTCCCAATGTAAAAATAAAGTGGCAGGAGTAACTGCCAGGCTGTCTCCAACTTATTATCAAGAAGATGGTGGCTGCATGTGAAATGTGACTGGGAAATAGACTTGTATGAATACTATTTGAAACCAGAAATGTATGGACTTGGTTTAACTGTTTTTTTTAACTCAAGATAATTGGGCTGAATCCAAGTCAGAGGCTAAATGAAGATGCTATTAAAACTGTGTTTTTGTTAGTTTTCATTATGCCATTATAAATATAAGATAAAAATATACACGTATCCTCTATTATTATTCTATTATTCTTAATAAAGAAATCATTGTCCTCTTCAACAAACAAAGTTGGAACCCACCATAGGTCTTTTTTTAATTAATTAATTTATTTGTCTTTTGGACAGGTTTTGGCCACACTGCAATCCCTTCTCCTCCATTCTCCTCTTGGAATCTTGGGCGCACACGTGCCCAGTGAGTTTAAACCACTGGGTCTGAGACTCGAACTGCAGTTGACCACATGGGAGTCCAGTGACATAGCCATTACAGCAACTGCTGGTCCTAGAACCCACCATTGGTCTTAACAGTATATCAATACCTGCATTTAGTGAGTATATGAATCCAGAGTGGGTAAAATGAGAGAAGTTGGGGTCCTTATCAAACTCTTTTAAATAGGCTGTTTTGGAAGTACACTGAGTTCCATAGAGACAGTGCCAGGGCAAGTGAGAGCTGGTCAGGCATTGGGTGACTCTGTGCCTTGTAGAGGAAAGATAACTAACCATGGGCAAAGGAGATCCTAAGAAGCCAAGTAAAATGTCATTGTACACATTCTTCATGCAAACTTGCCAGAAGGAGCACGAGAAGAAGCACCCAGATGTTTCAGTAGACTTCTCAGAGTTTTCTAAGAAGTGCTCAGAGAGGTGGAAGATCATGTCTGCTAAAGAGAAAGGAAAATTTGAAGATATGCAAAGACGAACAAGGCCTGTTATGAAAAAAGTGAAAATCTATCTTCCTCCTAAGGGGTAACAAAAAGAAGTTCAAGGATCTCAATGCACCTGAGAGGTCTCCTTTGGACTTTTTCTTATTTTATTCTTAATATCACCCAAAAATCAAAGCAGAACATTCTGGCCTATCCATTTGGTGATGTTGCAAAGACACTGGGAGAGATGTGGAATAACATTGCTGCAGATGATGCACAGCCTTATGAAAAAAAGGCTGCTAAGCAGAAGGAAAAATGCGAAAAGAATATTGCTGCATACTGAGCTAAAGGAAAGCCTGATGCAGCAAAAGGAAAAAAAAAAGTTGTTGCCAAGGCTGAAAAGAGCAAGAAAAAGAAGGAGGAGGGAGACGAGGAAGATGAATATGAGGAAGAAGGGGAAGATGAAGAGGATGAAGATGAAGATGATGATAATAAGTTGGTTCTAGTGCAGTTTTGTTTTTCCTTGTCTATAAAGAAAGCATTTAATCCCCCTTTACACAACTTACACCTTTTAAAGAAAAAAAAATATGAAATGCAAGGCTGTGTAAGATTTGTTTATAAAATGTACAGTGTCTTTTTTTTCTTTTCCGCACAGTTAACACATTACAGATTGTGTCTTTAGATAGCCCTGTCCTCGTGGTATTTTGAATAGCCACTAACCTTGCCTGGTACAGTATGAGGGTCGTAAATTGGCATGGAAATTAAAAGCAGGTTCTTGTTGAGGCACAGCACAAATTAGTTATATATGTGGATAGTAATTTTTTCATCTTCAGTTGAATATTAATCATTCAGAAGAGTAGACTATTAGTATTTTCCTATGAAAACACTCTTCCCTTTGCCAATGCATTTATGAGGTCTATTCTCAATTGGGTATAAAATACTGAAACAGGAACAATCTTCAATTCTGTCACAGGAACTGATATTTATTGTGTTACCAAGAAACATTATGACAAAAACATTTCTGTACAATTGTGAATTATTATTATTATTTTTGCTTATGTTCCAAACTGATAGGGATTCTTTCAGATAAAGAGAGTAGAATATTACCATTCCCATCACTCCATTGTGTGAGGTAGAACCAACTGCTGTGGAATATGTACAAATTATTATCAAGCTGGACAGAGCTCAGCAGAATACAAACAACAGAAGGTATATAGTGATGATAACAGCCACCATTTTTAAGAGTTTATTGAGGGGCTAGCAGGCGGTGTAGTGGTTGAGGAGCTGGACTGCCACATGACTGACAACAGTTCGAGTCTCAGATCTGGTGGCTTGCTTTCTGACCCTCCCTCCCTATCTCTCTCTGGTGAGTGCACATATCCTATAGCAAAAATAATAATAACAAATAAATAAAATAAAATAAAAATTTTTTTAAAGAAGAGTATATTGAAGGTAAAGATTTTACTTAGCTGCAAATGCCAACGTTTATTAAACCAAATTGTTTTCTGCTTACCCAAGGCAGAGGTCACACAGACCTCTTCAAGATCTTTAAGTGAAATAGACTCAGATAATCTCCTGTCTTCTATTTTGCCATTCTTCATTTCAGGGCCTTTGCCTGGGATGTAGTTTTAAGTCTTTGGCACAGATACTTTCTTCAGACTGACTCTTTTCCCATTTTGCTCTTTTCTCTGCAGATTGTCTTGATGCCCACCCACCTTTGGCTTGCCAGATGCCTATTTATGGATAGATCCTGGGTCAGCTATTTGTCTAAAATGAGAGTGCATGGAACATGAATAGTTTTCAGTAAATTGTTACAAGGGAACTGGAACTTGAGTTTCAAGTCAAGAAATTGGTGGGCATGGAACCAGGGAGGAAAGCTGCCAGGCGAGAAACTAGACATGGAAAAGGGGTAGAGAGTGAATGAGTCTGTATATGTATGGATTTCACAGAATACACATTGCTCCCTTTGTTCTATTAAATCTGGGCCAGGATGCAACTTGCTGAACTCCTTAGAATTAAAGTCCCAATGTAAAAATAAAGTGGCAGGAGTAACTGCCAGGCTGTCTCCAACTTATTATCAAGAAGATGGTGGCTGCATGTGAAATGTGACTGGGAAATAGACTTGTATGAATACTATTTGAAACCAGAAATGTATGGACTTGGTTTAACTGTTTTTTTTAACTCAAGATAATTGGGCTGAATCCAAGTCAGAGGCTAAATGAAGATGCTATTAAAACTGTGTTTTTGTTAGTTTTCATTATGCCATTATAAATATAAGATAAAAATATACACGTATCCTCTATTATTATTCTATTATTCTTAATAAAGAAATCATTGTCCTCTTCAACAAACAAAGTTGGAACCCACCATAGGTCTTTTTTTAATTAATTAATTTATTTGTCTTTTGGACAGGTTTTGGCCACACTGCAATCCCTTCTCCTCCATTCTCCTCTTGGAATCTTGGGCGCACACGTGCCCAGTGAGTTTAAACCACTGGGTCTGAGACTCGAACTGCAGTTGACCACATGGGAGTCCAGTGACATAGCCATTACAGCAACTGCTGGTCCTAGAACCCACCATTGGTCTTAACAGTATATCAATACCTGCATTTAGTGAGTATATGAATCCAGAGTGGGTAAAATGAGAGAAGTTGGGGTCCTTATCAAACTCTTTTAAATAGGCTGTTTTGGAAGTACACTGAGTTCCATAGAGACAGTGCCAGGGCAAGTGAGAGCTGGTCAGGCATTGGGTGACTCTGTGCCTTGTAGAGGAAAGATAACTAACCATGGGCAAAGGAGATCCTAAGAAGCCAAGTAAAATGTCATTGTACACATTCTTCATGCAAACTTGCCAGAAGGAGCACGAGAAGAAGCACCCAGATGTTTCAGTAGACTTCTCAGAGTTTTCTAAGAAGTGCTCAGAGAGGTGGAAGATCATGTCTGCTAAAGAGAAAGGAAAATTTGAAGATATGCAAAGACGAACAAGGCCTGTTATGAAAAAAGTGAAAATCTATCTTCCTCCTAAGGGGTAACAAAAAGAAGTTCAAGGATCTCAATGCACCTGAGAGGTCTCCTTTGGACTTTTTCTTATTTTATTCTTAATATCACCCAAAAATCAAAGCAGAACATTCTGGCCTATCCATTTGGTGATGTTGCAAAGACACTGGGAGAGATGTGGAATAACATTGCTGCAGATGATGCACAGCCTTATGAAAAAAAGGCTGCTAAGCAGAAGGAAAAATGCGAAAAGAATATTGCTGCATACTGAGCTAAAGGAAAGCCTGATGCAGCAAAAGGAAAAAAAAAAGTTGTTGCCAAGGCTGAAAAGAGCAAGAAAAAGAAGGAGGAGGGAGACGAGGAAGATGAATATGAGGAAGAAGGGGAAGATGAAGAGGATGAAGATGAAGATGATGATAATAAGTTGGTTCTAGTGCAGTTTTGTTTTTCCTTGTCTATAAAGAAAGCATTTAATCCCCCTTTACACAACTTACACCTTTTAAAGAAAAAAAAATATGAAATGCAAGGCTGTGTAAGATTTGTTTATAAAATGTACAGTGTCTTTTTTTTCTTTTCCGCACAGTTAACACATTACAGATTGTGTCTTTAGATAGCCCTGTCCTCGTGGTATTTTGAATAGCCACTAACCTTGCCTGGTACAGTATGAGGGTCGTAAATTGGCATGGAAATTAAAAGCAGGTTCTTGTTGAGGCACAGCACAAATTAGTTATATATGTGGATAGTAATTTTTTCATCTTCAGTTGTCTCAGATGCAGCTTAAGCGAAATAATTTTTCTGTTAACTGAATACCACTCTGTAATTGCAAAACAAAACAGTTGCAGCTCTTTTGTTGACATTCTGAATGCTTCTAAGTAAATACAATTAAAAAAAATGAAAAAACATAGGCTGTTTCTCAAAGGGTGTTCTATAAATTTTTATTTGTAC